ATGAATGAATAACTAGAAAGAAAGCCAAACAACAAGAAGAGTATATAGTGACTTTAGGATATCATTATGCTACATATTTATAAGATAGTTTCACAAAGCTGATGTACGATATTAACAGGACAAAATAAAATGAATAAAAATAATTTTTTAAAAAAGGGGAACAATTCTCCTGTCAAGTTAGTGCGCTTATTCTTGGTTTTCACGTGACTTCATTGCCGCCTTATTGGATGAAATCAAAATATTTCTAACGGGCTTCTTTTATTTGCTTCATCCAGCATTTCCGTCACCCCCTTGTCATTTGACTCTCTCGGGATTGGTCGTTGGTTTACGATCCAAGGGTTGGCCTTATACATTGCATAATAATTTCAGACCACAAATACACGTACATGTAGTCACGAATTAATGAAAATAGAAATTGACACTCCTATATGAATAGCCTGTAAATGGCAAGTCTGACGCGGCGTTTAAATGAGTTTAATAAATTTATTCATTTGTTAAAGAATTAGATGGTCTTACCCAAACCCGCAACAATATAAGCCCACAAGTACTGGTTCTTTATGGAATAAACTTTCACAGACTTGAAGAGAAGAAAGACTGCATCCAGAGACATCCATATTTGAACGGCAGTTGAAATAAAACCCTTAATTAACACCTCAAGGACTAACATGACCTAAAAATACATACAAAGGCTTTAAACTGGTGCGACAAATTTCCTCATGCACTTAAATTGGATTAAACTGGTCGATAGGAAAAAAAGTAAAAAATTCGACCTCAACCGTAGATAAAACGTAACTTTCAGTTTTTTGATTTACAGCGAAAAAAGCCAATTAAGTGGAATTAATACATGACAATGATATAGTGTGAACTGACAATCGACTGCTTAATAAAGAGTCTTGTCTGAATTAATAACTTTTAGATTATAAGATAAATCAAGGCTTAATTTTAGGCCTTTTTGCTATTCAAAAATATTTGCTGGGGCTTTTTTCATGATAAAACAAAAAATATGCCGTCCGACAAATTGTTTACTTCGACGTCTTGATTCCAGGGATATATGCGAATTCGGTTGTGCCGGATGTCCTTTTAGCTGTTTTTTAGTTAAAACTTGGGAAATGTGAAAAAATTTTCCAAGTAGTACTAAAAGTTAATGATAAAAACGAGAATTAAACAGTAAAATCGGTTCGCGATCTTAAGGAGGAGTCTCGTAAACGCACCAAAATTAAACAAGAAAGCTCAACACGAAATGGCAAGCTAAACTTCCGTGATTACGAGATATTGAAAACGTATGGTGGGGGCAGAGGAAAGGCATCTTTCTGGGCGAGTGAAAATTATACCAGGAGAGTGCAATGTTGAAAGCACTCGCCCGAATGGCGAGTGCCGTCAAAATTTGGTTTCTAACACTGTGATATTTTTTGTTTATAAGTAAACTAGGCTGAATTAACGGCCTCTGTACATGTTTGGGAAAAGAAGCCATGCTGAAAGAAGGCAAC